GAAGATGGTCTGACGGCGTTTCCCTCTCTGTCGAGAGATGACCGACGGTAGATCGAGTTTGAGGCAGCGGACATGATGAGAAATGATTGAACCCCTGGTAACTTTTCAGTTCACACGTATGCCTCAACAGCTTCACAAACCTACGTCAGAAGACGAAGGGCCTGAACAACTTTGTCCGAATTATTGAGTAGGACAACCCGGTATTTTTCTTTCATAGCAATCTCAAAAAATGCATGGTTGATGGAATACAGCCTTCGGAGATCCGCTGGAGGTAAAAAGCTTGCTATGCGATTCCATATTTCGAATGGGACGTCAATGACCATGACAGGGAGCAAAGAGTGGATGAAACGCCATCATTTCGCGATACACTCGGCAGTGGCTTGGGGTGGCTGGAAATCACCGAGAGTAGTTCACCGGAGGGCAAGCTGTCCGTGGACATGTCATAATTGGCCATATACATGCTCAGTTGCTACATAACTACCATAAACAAACCTCAAGCACAACACATACATCCCAAACATACTTAGAAAGTAGATGGGCGGTGGGCGACGAAGGTGGAGCGGGCCTTGGCAACGCGGTGAGGGAGGGGGAATTTGAGCTTGGGGACCAAGAGCTGCTTGATGTAAGGACGGCGGATATCCTCGGTCTTCTCGATCTCAACAACGCGGAGGATCTATCAAAACGTTAGACTACCCCAGAAACACACCGTGAAGGCATTACGCACGTGGATCGAACGGAAGCGGGCACGATGACGGGCAGCCATGTCCTGGTAGAGGCTCTTAACGGCATCAGCCCGGGAGAGTTCACGGAACTCCTTGTACATGTTGTGGGTGCCAGAGCGAGAATCGTAGCGAAGCCAGATGCCAAAGTTCTTGACCTTTAAGGGCTTCTTTTCGTGGATCTAGAAAAAAAGGTCACGAAGACCAGTCAGCTCCCATTCCGCCTGCCTCTTGAGGGCTGCAAGGGACATCATGATACATACAACATTGACGCCAATGATTTCACCGCTGGCCTTCTTGACCTTCTTGAGTTGCCTAGAGGGCTGTGAGATGTGAAGCTAGGCCTTACGATTCTGATAACACACCTAAGGAAATACCAGAAGCGGGATTTGGCAACGACCTCGTTAGGCGCAAAGATGCGCATACGGTAGATTTTGGGGGTAGGCTCAGCCTCCGTGGGCAGATGGCGTCCGACGACCTGGTATTCTTGAAGGCCCATTCTAGGTTCAAGAGGTCAGATTCGGTAGGTCAAAAGTTTGGGTCATCCAAAAGGGTATCAATCCATCCATCCCAAGAAGCCAACTTTTCGCCACAAAATCGCGCCATACGACTCTGGAAGCATAGCAGATGAACATAACGACAGGAAATGGAGACTCACGTAGTGGATTGGCGGTGTCTTGAGGAAGCGATGGGCTGGTGTTGTCCTTCACAACTTCAATGGACTCAAAGTTTTTGTTTGTACATATTATAATCGCATGATGTTGTTCGGCAACGCGGCAGCAGTCACCCAAAAATTAACCTTGCTGCTCACCGTCTTATTGCAATATTGGACTTGTATTCCAAACAAAATGATATAACGATTATCTGCTTCTGGCAACTACCGGAAGCCTAATGTGATACCATGTTGTGCGTATAACTTGGAATTTCCTTTCTGAAGTCCAAAAAGAAAACCTAACTTCTTAAATTCTTGGCAGCTACGTCCATCATCTATCGACCATCACAGTTGCGCTTTTGCAACTGTACATCACAGACGGATGGATGTATACTAGTATGTGGAATTGGGATAAGTCACCAGATCTTACCAAGTTCACACACGGTTCTATCTCAGGTCAAACGGCCCCCCTTAGAAAGATCTGATCGTAGCCTAACCACGAGTTGCATTTACTTACTTGGCTATGATAAGAACAGTCAATTATAGTCTGAGGTCATGTACTGTTTGCCAGCAGGATTTCTTTCTCTCAGCACTTCTTGGGGTCGTTCTCTTTTCTTCATTCTCAGGCTTCAGCGAAGCCCACTTTCAAAGAGCTGGTCCATTACATTTTGAACTTTGAAGTGAAAAGGTCGCAGGCCGCTGGCGGGAGAACGTATCGATACACGGAGCACAGATCATGGACACTCGTAAGCACCGCTTCTTACATCCTCTTTTACAAGAGACACACCTTTGCTTGTTCTCCTGCCATCGAAGCAGATCGTAGAGGCGTCGAGGCCTTCGTCGCGTTGGAAATACTCGGCATAGCATTCTTCGCTTTTATAATGATCTCGGCTTTTCTAGCGCAACACCGGGGTGCAAGTCGACATCCGACCTTTTTCAGCTTCTGTTTCTCCTGGATCGTATTTTGTATTTCTTTTGCCTTGCTATTCTTTGCAGGTCAACAATTCACACGTCCTGAGCCCGATCACAAGCTATGCACCGTGCATGCTGCTCTAGCGTATGCTGCTCCAATCCTGTACGCCGCATGATTTACGGGAATGCCTCTGAGTTAATGATTGTCTCCTCGTCATAAAATTAGGGCAGGTTCTGCATCGGTTGCACTTGTTTCTCATGCGAGCAACAACTAGTCTTGTGCTTCCGCAGGTTTTGATTCTCATCGTTTAGCTCTTGTTGAACATTCTTTCTGCCCTTTCAAGGACGGGAGTAAAGCATGACTCGGTTTTTATATCTGCAACCGTGAGTTTACAGCTGTTCCGCTCCCTAACCGTTTCTCAAACTCAGTTTCAAGCTTGTTATCGGGCCTTGGTTCATCTGGGTTGCTGTTTTCATTGGTGTATTATTGGTGAGTACATTGATCCCGTTTATCATCTTCAAGGAAGCAACATATCGCCCAGTATGGCGTCCACCATTCAGACCTTGTAGAAATTTCACCCAATGGGACGTACTGTGTTCTCATCGGCACGTCATTGTAAGTCTTATAACGCTGGTCCCCGTGAATTTTCTGTTAATATGAGTGCCAAAGGATTAAAATCACACCAGTCTGGGCAACTACCGTAGCGACTGTCTTGATAATCGAAGAAGGTCGGTTGTTATGTTATCAAGTTTTCCCTGTAATCGAACACGATCCCCAGTGGTGATAGGGTTTCTGCTTTATCGCAACAGGCAAATATCCCGTATGTTCAGTCAATCGGCGGCCATGGCTTTCCGTGTGGCAATCTTCACCATTTTTGGGATTGGCGCTCTTGCGTTCGTGGAGTCGGCGCTGAAAACGTTCAATATTGCCAACGATATCATTGATATATCTCCTCAAGACGAGATCTATCGCTTCGATATAGAGGAAAAGAGAAGACTCGATCGAGAAGCCCCCTGGGAGAAGGAGTACGTTGACCATGCTCATGTCGTCGAAAGTTCTTAATGCTGAGAGCGTTTATAAAGCCCACATTACTTCAAGGCATGCAAGATATCTGCAGTTGCACTGGTTAAGATGGTATGTCATCAAGTTGCAAATTGGGTCGCCACACCCAACGGTCACGCATTCTAGGTCATACATGCGCGTTCAGGAGTACCACACGAGATCATGGGGCTCATGCAGGGAAAAGTTGTCGGAAATACTATCGTGGTCATGGATTCTTTTGCGCTCCCAGTGCAAGGGACTGAAACGCGTGTAAACGCAGCGAATGAAGCCAACGAATATATGGTGGAATATATCCAAAAGAGCGAGAAGGTGAGACTTCCACACTAGAAATCTACCTTTCCTTTCCTTCCTATGTCTAACATGCCCTCTAAAGATTGGTCGACTTGAGAACGCGATCGGCTGGTATCACTCGCACCCCGGATACGGCTGCTGGTTGTCTGGTATTGACGTTAACACCCAAATAATCAACCAGAAGTTCCAGGATCCTTTTGTCGCAGTTGTGGTTAGTCTTTGTATCGTTCTTCTGTCTACTTGGCCTCAACGCTTCTCAGATCGACCCCAATCGTACTATCTCTGCGGGTAAGGTTGATATTGGCGCGTTCCGAACGTTCCCAGAAGGCTACACTCCTCCAAACGTATCTGCCTCCGAATACCAGTCCATCCCGTTGAACAAGATCGAGGATTTCGGTGTCCATGCAAATCAGTATTATCAAGTAGATGTCGAGATATTCAAATCGAGTCTAGACAATGAACTTCTTGCAATGCTTTGGAACAAGTATTGGGTGAACACCCTCAGTTCCAGCCCCTTAATCTCAGTGAGTGCCAATGCTTTCCTGTGTCGTACCGTAGCTCACCAGCGTCTTAGAACCGTGCATACTCAGTTTCTCAGCTTACCGATCTCCACCAAAAGCTATCAAGGGCGCAATCATCAGTGAATTCAACACGAGCACCTGTTCCGACTTTGAAAGATAAAGATGGAGCACCCGCAAACTCTAAGGTCAGGGCCCAGAAGCTTTTTCGCCATTTTTTCTGACAGAGAGTATCTTCTTCCAGCAAAAAGAGAAGGAAGAGAAGAAGAAAGAAGACAGCCAGCTTCTAAAGAGTGTCAAGGACAGGTGCGTATATTTGGTTACCTTGTGTCCGTATCTGACACTTTTTCTGTAGCACAAAGATTGCTATTGAAGCTCAGCATGGTCTTATATCTCAGGTCATTAAAGACGTCATCTTTTCGATGCGCCTCAATGGAACCAAGTCTGGGGTGTCAGATATCTCGGAGGTTACGGATATGGCGATTGGTTGAGTGACCCTCATGTCGTCCTCTGTTCCTGTTCCAGTTCGCATGCTTGCCAATTGTATCATTAATCATATCTGCGCTGTGTCTTGTTGTGCCTTAACATCTGCGAGAGCCTCTCTTACCTGTCAAGGGAGGCAGTGTCATATTATACTGGCGTCACTCGTTTGTCCGTCTGCACATTGACCTCTCCACACGTTCGTCTGGGGAGTTTGACACCCTCCAGTGTTCGTATGTACTCTGCGCAATATGCTCATGTCATTAATATCATTAGAACCGATTTTGAGGGGTATACTGAGCAGTCCAACGTAGTGTTCTAAAACCATTCCACCACTTTATCACACTTTAACGACCTGCACACACGGCTTCTTGGTCTAGTAGCATGATACCTCCTTCGGGTCTATAGGTCCATGGCAGATGCCATATCATTGGAGGTGGTCCCGGGTTCAATTCCCGGAGGAGCCCTTTTTTCTTACTCAAAGCCTGATTGTCGACCGAATATTAGCTGTTATCTTGCATTCACCTTTATTGAATTTGTTCTCGCAGTTTCATAAGATATGTCCTCGTTATTTAGCGGCATTTCACAACCCTGCCATTGGATTAAAAACCTAGTAGTAGTTCCCACTCGGTTCCCAATGCCAAAGCCAGGTGCGTTTCGGGTTAGTGGTTAGTTTCACTGGTTTAGTAGATCCTCTCATTTGCAATAAAATTGAAATGGCTCCATGGTCAGCAAAGGAAGAGATTTCGGTACACGAATTATTTATAATCAATCATGTGAACCAGAACTTGAACCACACCAATGCCATAACGCGCATTTCCTTCCACAATATCAACTCATTCAATCAACCCTGGGCTTCGAACTTCTTAAACGACGTCTTTGACCTGCAATGTCGCAATTGTGGGATGGAGAACTCAGCCATCGCCTGCTCCCGATCAACGAGATAAACTTATGCTCCTAAGTCCCTTATCTCCCAGCAGGCAGTTTCACTTGCCTAATGCCAAGGATTTCCTTCCCGTG